AGACTTTTCAGTGTGACCGGTATACGGAATGATACATTACGTATCACTATACGAATGGTAGGATATGTCTTAAAAAGTTAATAACTTAAAAAATAAAATTTCTCACCACTTATATAAAACCAATTGGTGTACCATCCGTCTTCTGGTCACAATGAAAATTTTCTCACTCTAATTGTAAAGTGTATTGAGTTTGAACTTGGGAAGGGTGCCAGGTACACCAAGTAGTTGGATACTTAGAAATAAAAAAACTTCCACCATTTATATTATCACTCTTGATGTGCGTACTGTGTTCCTGAACATTGAAAAATATCTCTTATATACTAATACCAATTTGTTTCCTAATTCTATTTGTTTATTAATATAAGGTGGTAAAATTGAAAAGTGTGATTTTCTTATTAAAATCGTAACAAGCACTTCATAAAGAATTGTTAATTTGTTTAATTCATATGAATTATTAAATAATATTTAAATCGAATGAATTCTTTCCAAAATAATGATATTTACATGACAATAGAATGAATAGTTTCAGTCATGATTTTTGTGCGGTAAAATGATGAAGTTGTTTTAAATAGACAAAAGTTAGAAAGATAATATTTATTAGGAACAAGGACAAAGCGAATGCAAAATATCACACTATCTTGTTTCTTAACTCTGACACAAAATGATTGCAGATAAAAGAAAATAGGAAGATTACTTATATTATTCCAACTTTTCCTTTCTTGCTGTGTGTTTTCATCACTTGTAGTGCTCTATATATAGAGCGACTTCGTTGAAAGCTTACAAAACAACCCTATTAGGCATATGGTAGAGATACTGTTTGCACGTGGGCATACAATTACAATCCCACTATTTACAGCAGAAGTGCATGTCCTTTTTATCAAAAAAAGAAAAGAAAACCTTTATTGCACTGCAGTTCCTTAATTGGAAGTTGACGAAGAAAATCTTCAACTACAACTACCAGAGCAGCTAATGCTGGAGGACCGGTAGCTATGATGGAGATGGATGTAAACTATTTTTGTGAGTGTTTGTATTGGGACAATTCGTTCAAAGAGTTCCCTACGAGTACCACGATAATGACTAGAGAACTTTCTAGTTGTCCACCAATATTGGATTTAATCCCCATGTCTAAGAGCAGCAATCGTATCAAGAAGAAGAGGATTATCAATGGCAACGAGGGAAGGACAACTTATAGTCAAGATCGACGGCGGTGATGCTTCTTCCAGCAAAGAAACAGAGACTGCACCAAATATCGACGGAGAAGCAGCTCCAAGGTCGCCAATAATTCACGGCTCCCCAGAAAACCCTACTGAATCAGTCCGACGGAGAAGCAAAGTTCTGCCGGGAGCTCCCGAGATTGTCCGATGCAGCCCCAATGCCTCCCCCCGAAGCTCCTGGAAACCGCCGGTGAGCAAGACCAAGTCCAGGCTGCTCGACCCACCACCCGAGGAAGCGTGTCTGAAATCGGATAGAGCTGTGGGCTCTGGACGAACTCCGCGGAGAGATGACGGCGCTTCGGCTTTCGATGACGACGACCTCGAAGACATTCCAGATGAGTATAAGAAGATCAAGTTCGATGCCCTCACATTGGTTCAGTGGGTGAGTCTTGTTATTGTTATAGCTGCTTTAGTTTGCAATCTATGGATTCCAGTAATAAAGAAGAAAACTTTGTGGAATCTTCCGCTGTGGAAGTGGGAAATTCTGGTTCTGGCATTGATTTGTGGTCGTTTGGTTTCGGGTTGGGGAATTCGGGTGATTGTGTTCCTAGTAGAGCGAAATTTCTTGTTTCGAAAACGGGTTTTGTATTTCGTATACGGTATAAGGAGATCTGTTCAGAATTGTCTGTGGTTAGGATTGGTTTTGTTGGTATGGAACTTGATTTTTGATAAGAAGATGGAGGAGAAGACCAAGCATAGGATTTTACCTTATGTGACCAAGATTTTGGTATGTTTTCTGGTTGGGACATTGATTTGGCTGCTGAAGACAATACTTGTTAAGGTTCTTGCCTTGTATTTCCATGTCAACGCCTTCTTCGACCGGATCCAGGAGGCTTTGTTCAATCAGTATGTGTTTGAGACGCTATCTTGTCCCCCTATGTTTGAAAGGCAACACACACGGGAAGAGGAAAAGGCCGCGGCAGCTGAGATTAGGGAGTTTCAGAAGGCCGGGGCTACTATGCCTCGTGGGCCCCCCCTGTTTGAAAGGCAACTGTCACTAGAAGAGGAAAAAGCTGCGGCAGCTGAGATTCAGGAGTTTCAGAAAGCGGGGGCTGCTACGCCTCGCGAGCTCAGGGCAAGGAGTGGGAGAGCTGTAGGGAGTGGACACCAAAATAGCCCCAGAGTAGGGAAGAGTCCCGCGGTTTCTAGGCCAGCATCTGAGAAGCAAGATGAAGGTATCCCGGCTGATCACTTGCATAAACTAAACCAAAAGAATGTGTCGGCTTGGAATATGAGAAAAATGGTAAACATCATCCGGCACGGGGCCTTAACCACTCTAGATGAACAGATACTGAACTCAGAATCTCAAGCAAAAGATGCAGCCAGGAAGATATTTTTCAGAGTAGCCAAGCTGGGTTCTCCGTAAGTTTACATAATTAATTTTACCATTAGATATTAATTTGGTTTGATCTTCATCTGCATGTGAGCTACACTATGTTAAATTACCTAATGGTTACCTGCTCAGAAGTACTTTGTATGTGAGTAGTCTACAGGAATTACCTTCCACATGTGCTAATGCATTTTGTTGTGACAGATACATTGACCTTGAGGATTTGATGCAGTTTATGGATAAAGATGAAGCTTTAAATTCATTTCGTCTCTTTGGTGCAGCAAGCGAAGATGACAAAATCAGCAAGACCGCTCTTAGGAATTGGGTGGTAATAATGCCTTTTAAGTTGTGCTTTCTGTCATCGATGAACTATTTATTGAAGAATGAATGTGTTTTTCTCGTTTCTTTAGGTCAATGCTTTTAAAGACAGTAGAGCACTAGCATTGTCTTTGAACGATGCAAAAACAGCTGTGGATGAACTCCATAACATTTAAACGTCCTTGTAGCTATCGTCATTTTGATAATCTGGCTTATTATACTTGAGGTTCATGTCACCCACTTCCTTCTCTTAATGGGCACCCAGCTTCTTTTGGTTGCATTTATCTTCGGGAACACATGCAAGACAGTTTTTGAAGCAATCATCTTTCTATTTGTAATGCACCCGTTTGATGTGGGTGATCGTTGTGAAGTGGATGGAGTCCAGGTGACGATTTGAATCAGAAGTTTATGTTTATGTGTGGTGTGTATTACCTTAGGATCTGTGGTTATACCAATATACCTAATGGCTTGATGATTTTTTCGGTTTCAGATGGTAGTTGAAGAGATGAATATATTAACTACAGTCTTTCTGAAGTTTGATAACCACAAGATCATATACCCTAACAGTGTTCTTACTACCAAGGCAATTGCTAACTATCGTCGTAGTCCTGACATGGGCGACGCTATTGATTTTTGTGTGCATATTTCAAATCCTTTGGAGAAGGTGGCCAGCCGTCTAGCGCCTAGGCCGCCTAGGTGGCGCTGACGGGGATTTTTCGAACAGTGCCGGCACCAGCAGATTAACACTCTTCAACTTGTACTCTGGGAGGACTGGCATGACGGATGAGGGTTTTTTGGAACATAACGTTTGATGCTGAGATATAACAGCAGAGCAGATGCTTGTAGTTCCAGACTAACATATGAAATTATGCATAGATTATAGATAAAGTGCCAATCCCCCTCACTTCAGATGGACCATTTTGGTACTATTCCATCACTCTAATCGTATGGTGTATTGAGTTTGAACATGGGAAGGGTGCCGGGTATACCAAGTAGTTGGTAAGGATGGTAATTCTAACCGTTAAACCCGATAATCGTCTAAATGGATTGAATTTGGGTATGAAAATTTGGATATATTTTGGGTATGGGAAAAACCGTGAATATTATGCGGTTATGGTTTTGGATATGATTATAGTAGTCCCCAATCCATATCCCTACCTGAATCCGAATCCGAACCGAATAATATATAATATAATTATATGTATATTCATTATTCACCGAATCCATTACCTCGAGAATACAAAAATTGCATTGTGTGAGTTGCATTTTGTGGCAAAGTTCAAAAGTTTTGATATAAATCAAAATCTACGAGAATTTAATAGTATTTATGCGAGATATCGAAGATCAACCAACATTATCAATGTTTAGCTTTAATTTTTATGTTCCACAAGATCTATTAATTAAATCATTTTATACATTAAATATTTAATGACGAAATTAATATTTACTAAATTATCATACGTTAATTAGAGAATATATTTTTTGTATTAACAAAGATGGATATAATCGTTACCCGATGAGAAATCCGTTATCCGATGGGTATGGTTATGGATAATACCCGATGGTTAATTTGCAGTTACGAATATGGTTAATTTTCGTGGTTATGGGATGAATATAGTTTTTCCGTCCCCAAACCGATCCGTTGTCATCCCTAGTAGTTGGATACTTGAAATAAAAAAATTTCCACCACTTATATTATCACACTTAATACGTGAACCGTGTTCTTAACACACTAAAAAATATCTCCCGTACACTGGTAGCATTTTGTTTCCCAATTCTATTTGTTTATTAATACAAGGCGGTAAAATTGAAAAGTGTGATTTTCTAATTAAAATCGTAACAAATGAACAGTCCTTTTCGTCAAAGGAAAGAAAAGATTCGGAAACCGTGGGAAAATGCTGTGATGGCGGTCTCACATTGCCAGCCTGTTGTCGATTTTTCTCAAAGAAGGGACTCAGAAAATGGTGGGGAAAGTATAAAAGTAACCCTATTTTTGTCTTTTGTGGTCTTAGCAGGTGTCCAATTATAATTATAATTTAATTTCAATTTTAATTTTAATTTTAATTATTGGACACGTGTCCGGTGATTAGAGGCAAACATTCCAAACTTTTATTGCACTGCAGTCCTTAATTGGAAGGTGATGAAGAAACTCTTGAGCTACAAGTACCAGAGCAGCAGCAGCAGCAATCGTATCAAGAAGAAGAGGATTATCAAATGGCAACGAGGGAAGGACAAGTTCTACTCAAGGTCGACGGCGGTGATGCTTCTTCCAGCAAAGAAACAGAGACTGCACCAAATATCGACGGAGAAGCAGCTCCAAGGTCGCCAATAATTCACGGCTCCCCAGAGAACCCTACTGAATCAGTCCGACGGAGAAGCAAAGATCTGCCGGGAACTTCCTCCAGCCCGGCCGGAGCTCCCGAGATTGTCCGATGCAGCCCCAACGCCTCCCCCCGACGCTCCTGGAAACCGCCGGTGAGCAAGACCAAGTCCAGGCTGCTCGACCCACCACCTGAGGAAGCGTGTCTGAAATCGGACAGAGCTGTGGGCTCCGGACGAACTCCGCGGAGAGATGACGACGCTTCGGCTTTCGATGACGACGACCTCGAAGACATTCCAGATGAGTATAAGAAGATCAAGTTCGATGCCCTCACATTGGTTCAGTGGGTGAGTCTTGTTATTGTTATAGCTGCTTTAGTTTGCAATCTATGGATTCCAGTAATAAAGAAGAAAACTTTGTGGAATCTTCCGCTGTGGAAGTGGGAAATTCTGGTTCTGGCATTGATTTGTGGTCGTTTGGTTTCGGGTTGGGGAATTCGGGTGATTGTGTTCTTTGTAGAGCGAAATTTCTTGTTGCGAAAACGGGTTTTGTATTTCGTATACGGTTTAAGGAGATCTGTTCAGAATTGTCTGTGGTTGGGATTGGTTTTGTTGGTATGGCGCTTGATTTTTGATAAGAAGATGGAGCAGAAGGCCAAGCATAGGATTTTGCCTTATGTGACCAAGATTTTGGTATGTTTTCTGGTTGGGACATTGATTTGGCTCCTGAAGACAATACTTGTTAAGGTTCTTGCCTTGTATTTCCATGTCAACGCCTTCTTCGACCGGATCCAGGAAGCTTTGTTCACTCAGTATGTGTTTGAGACGCTATCTGGTCCCCCTATGTTTGAAAGGCAACACACACGGGAAGAGGAAAAGGCCGCGGCAGCTGAGATTAGGGAGTTTCAGAAGGCCGGGGTAGCTATGCCTCGTGATCTCAGGGCAACTCTTTTTCCGAGGACAAGGAGTGGGAGAGTTGTCGGGAGTGGAAGCCATAATAGCCCCAGAGTAGGGAAGAGTCCCGCGGTTTCTAGGCCAATGTCTGAGAGCCAAGATGAGGAGATCCCGGTAGATCACTTGCAGAAGCTAAATCAGAAGAATGTGTCGGCCTGGAATATGAGGAGGATGGTAAACATCATCCGGCACGGGTCCTTAACCACTCTAGATGAGCATATACTGAACTCCAATGTGGGAGATGAGTCTTCTTTGAAGATTACAACTGAATGTCAAGCAAAAGAGGCAGCCAGGAAGATATTCATGAGAGTAGCCAAGCCAGGGTCCCCGTAAGTTTATTCAATTCTTTTCATCATTCGATATTGATATTGTTTGATCTTCCTCTACATGTAAGTTACACTATGTTTAATTACTGAATGGTTTGATGAGTGCTTTATTCTGTATTTTAGTGTTAGCTCTGTGCAAGTACATGCTCAGATGTTAAGCTCTATCCTTCCGTTAAAAACATTTAGGGAAGTACTTTATTGGACTTACCTAGAACGTGTTCTGCTAATGCATTTTGTTGTGACAGACACATTTACCTGGAGGATTTGATGCGGTTTATGGATAAAGATGAAGCTTTGAAGACGCTTCAACTCTTTGGTGCAGCAAGTGAACATGACAAAATCGGGAAGACCGCTCTTAAAAATTGGGTGGTAATAATGCCTTTTTAACACTTCTACCGTTGGTTCTTGTTTGTTTTTGCTGTTAATCAGCTAGTAAAGTCTATGCATATCCAAATCTTGGAGAAGCAAGAGGTAAGATGTGCTTTCTGCCATCGACGAACCATTAATTGAAGGATGGATGTGTTTTTCTCATTTCTTGTAGGTCAGTGCATTTAAAGAAAGAAGAGCACTAGCATTGTCTTTGAATGATACAAAAACAGCTGTGGACGAACTCCATAAAATTATAAATGTCCTTGTAGCTATTGTCATTGTGATAATCTGGCTTATTATTCTTGGGGTTCATGTCAGCCACTACCTTCTCTTAATAAGCTCCCAGCTTCTTTTGGTTGCATTCGTCTTTGGGAACACATGTAAGACGGTTTTTGAAGCAATCATCTTTCTGTTTGTAAGGCATCCGTTTGATGTGGGTGATCGCTGTGAAGTGGATGGAGTCCAGGTGAAAATTTGAGTCAGAAATTATGCTTACTGTGTTGTGTGTATTACCCTAGGATTTATGTTTATACAGATTTACCTAACTGCTTGATGTTCTCTGCGTTTCAGATGGTAGTTGACGAGATGAATATATTAACTACAGTCTTTCTGAAGTATGATAACCAGAAGATCATATACCCTAACAGTGTTCTTGCGACCAAGGGAATTGCTAATTATCATCGTAGTCCTGACACGGTTGAATTTATTGATTTCTGTGTTCATATCGCAACTCCTATGGATAAGGTGGCCACTATGAAAGAAAGACTACAGAAGTATGCATTCGAACGAATATTTTACTTTTCCTGTTTTTTTTCTCTAATATTTTCGAAACAACACATCCATTCATGTTATGGAATGTTTGGTGCAATGTGTAAAGGCCTTTCGGCCTTTGCTATGAAGGAAGTACAGCCATCATATGATAATCGACTGCATAAAATACGTGTGTTTTTGTTGGATCATGTCTATCCAAATTGAATCAGTCTTAATCTGGGCTCTGGCTACTTAACATGTTGTGCAGGTATATGAAAAGCAGGAAGGATCACTGGCATGATGATCCGTTGCTGGTCACAAGGGATGTGCTGGATTTGAACAAACTGATGATATCGGTATGGCCGACACACAAGATGAACTATCAGGACATAGAGGAGAGATGGAGGAGGAGAAGCCTTTTGGTCGAAGAGATGATCAAAGTGTTTAGAGAGCTCGATATTGATTACCGGTTACTGCCTATTGACATCAACGTCCGAGCCATGCCAAGTTTAACCTCCAACAGACTTCCTTCAAATTGGACAACCAGTGCCCCGAAGCCAGCAAGTTAATAAACTTCCAAGTACGCTGTTGCCACTTTTAAACTAAGACCTGCAGTACCGGAATGACGGATGAGGGTTCTTCGGAATGAATGATTGATGAGAAATAACAGAAGATGCTTGTAGTTTCAGACACATATGTACGTTATGCATGATGTTTCAATCATGGTAGTTCTACTCAATCCAGATGTTACGTTTTGTACTAAACTATTTTGTTTCTATTCTTATTAAAAAAAAATTGGAGCTATGGTCTCGAACTTTGGTCCAATTGGAGTTTTGGTCCCTAAATTAAAAATTCGTGGGTATGGTGGTTCCTTAGCGTGTTACAATGTGTAACAATGGTTCTTTTGGCTAATTTCGTTAAAACTTTCATTCACTTTTTGTCCCTTTAAACTCTTTGGATGGAAGTTCCAATGGTATTCACCAAAAGCTCCAATTGAGCTAAAGTTCAAGAACCAAGGCTCCAATTGAGCTAAAGTTCAAGAACCAAGGCTCCAATTGAGTTAAAGTTCAAGTACCAAAGCTCCAATCGAGCTAAAGTTTAGAAACCATTGCTTTAGCTGAGTTCATGCACTAAATAATATGACAGAATGCGGTAATTTACGGCTGAATTTTTTTTAGGATTTAGGTTGAGTTGACCGAAGTTATATGTCAAGTTCGGGTCTCATCCCTGAACAACATTTGAAAGAAAATAAAAAAAAAAACATTACTTGGCTACTCAAATATAAGTAGAAACATCTACTTGAAAATCTTAGTATTTGAATCACAGAGCTTTGTACTTATGATCAAAACCGTTCATATTATCAATTACACTGTAAAAGCATTACAAGCCATCTATGTATTTGTAAGAATAGATTGACTAAACAACCTTAGTTTTAATTCATTTTTTGCAGAGAGAATCTTTATAAGATTATTTATAATATGAACGGCTCTAATTATAAACACGAAATTCTATACATTAGTAACAAACAATTTTGAGTAGGCATTCTTCTTCATCATTTAAATAGCCAAGTATTGTTCGAAAAACATACAAAGGCCCAGTAACATAAGATCTACAACGCCTAAGAAACTGCTGTTTTATTGGGCTTTTGGCACTCTCCATTGTCAAAACACTTTCTCCATTCTCCGTTCTCACTCTGCGTCGCGCAGCTTCCAAAAGAATGGAAGAGAAGGATGCCAATGAATTTATAGCAAGCCCTCAGACGACGCAAGAACTAGCAATGGAAGGCCAGAAGCATCTCGAAGAAACCATCGAGGCAGCTTTCCGGATCCTCTCCTCCATGAACGACGAGCTCTGCAACCCCACCTTGTGGTCCTCCACCGGCACCGCCTCCTCTAACGCTGCAAATGGCCCTTCTTCCCACTCTAATGGCGTCAATAACGGCGATTCGTCTTCTTCTGAAAACACTTCTTCCCATTACCATGGAGACTTGGTTGGCGCTGGTGGTCCTGGCACCGGTGGAGCTCTTGAGGAGGCTCGATTTCGGTATAAGAACTCTGTGGGCTTGCTTCGTGCCGTTCTCGCCGCAATTCCCAAATCTCGGAAGGTGATTTCTGACACCCTTTTCTTTAATTTGGTCAATTTTCGATCCACAGTTGTCAAATTAAATAGTGAAATTGCCTACATAATCACATTTATGCATTCATATTTAACCAATGCCAATGATCTTGTGAAGTATGATTTCTTCAAGTGGTTATTTGTGTGGTGGAGGATCCAGTGCAGTGTTTATTTATAAAATCGGGAAATAATTGAAATTACTTGATTGACTGAACCACTGTTGAACTGGATGAGTTGAGATTTCCGTTGATTTTGTGTATGAAAGTGACAAGCTTTAACTGCTGAATTGAACGAAATGTTTGCTCCGTTTACTCGAAATCTCAAACTTCGTGAAATGCAGCAAATGCTTCAATGAAAAACTTGGAATGTTATAAGAGTCAATACTTTAGGTGTATTGTCATTGTGAATAGTTCTTTGTCTCGAGTTTATGTGTGTGTATGTATCTAATCGGAATGATTTTATTTCGGATTGAGATATCACAGTTTGTGAACCATATTAGTTAGCTAACATACATAAGTTCATTTTAAAATAGGCAACATCCAAAACTAGTTCAACTGCAGTCGGTTCAGAATCACCGGCAGATGAAGCTGAACTTGAGAAGTTAGATGAGCGAGCTTCCAATTTGAGAAAGGTAAGGTTGATTTCTCAGGTACCATGTCTAGAGGGGTTGAACTTTGTTTGGAGAGTTCATGTCTTTAATTATATGGAATTTTAATCTTTGACGAGCGCTTTAGTTGTTGCTCCAATGTTTCTGTAATAGTTTCAATCGACGTTGTTTTATTTTGTAGGAGCTTGCGAACAAGAATGTGTATATCAAATTTCTAATAGATCAACTACGGGATCTTATCACTGACATATCAACTTGGCAAAGTCCTTGTTCCGTCTGATTTCAGGAAGAATCTTCCTGCAGGTGATGCTGCTTTTACATTAACTTTGCATAATCAGTGAAACCTTAATGTGTTTTATTGTATTCGTTTTCCAATCAGTTTAGCGACGGGTTTTTTATGTTTCACGAGGAAAATATTAGGTGAGAAATAGAATAGTGAAGAGGTTTCTAAATCATGAGATATCTGATGTTAAAGATGGATTTGTCAATTCTAATTTCGGATTTGGTTGCTCAATTCTTCTTCCATTGCCTTGATTGTATTCAATGTCTGATTTGAAAGATATATGGAAGATCAGTTTCCCAAGGCTTCGTTTCTCGTCCTGTTGGTGTTGGGTGAAATTGTTAATGTGCATGATTCTCTCCAGCTCATCATATTTCATGAAGAGAGTTATTTAGTTTAATTTCATGCTTAGGAGAGCAAAACTCTTGTTAATGCTAGGGGTGATTTGGGTTACTGGGCCGAGACCAGTTATATTAACCCGATTCATCTATTCTCATTTCCTTACCTTCTTTAAGCTCAAAACAAATTTGGGCCTTTAAACCTTTACGCTGCCAAAATAATATTTTAAAAAAAATTAAAAAAACAGTGAGCTTTGTGTTTATAAGTTGAGAAATGCTATGAAAACTCTCTAAAAAGTGGGACTCTCCGTGGACTCTTTGTCATGTTATATTTTCGGCACAATGATTTATAATGTTGACACGATAATTTACGTTAAACTGTGAGATGACAGAGAGTACATGAAGAGTGTAAAATTTCTCTTGTAAGCTTTAGTGGCATCTTTTACGGTTAAGTTAGGTGGTGGGCCCAACGAACCCACCATTTTCAAGTAAGGGATAAAGTGTCAGAGCACTTCGTCGACCTTTTGTATGGTGTAAAACAGTACAAGAAGACAATTGGAAACCCATCCAATCTCAAAATCTGAGTCCAAATCGAATGGCGACTCCGGTGAAGGTGTACGGACCACCGTTATCAACGGCGGTGTCAAGAGTGTTGGCCTGTCTCCATGAGAAAGGGGTAGACTATCAGCTCATTTCCGTCAACATGGCCAAAGGCGAGCACAAGAAGCCCGACTACCTCAAGATTCAGGTATCGTTTCCAATATAATATAGCATATATATATATATATATATATATATATGTATGTATGTATGTATGTATGTATATTTTCTCTCACTCACATACTCACATTCATGATATGGTGTTCTTTTAAGCCATTCGGACAAGTACCAGCTTTTGAAGACGAAGACATCTCCCTCTTCGGTATAGATCCTAATTTCATTGTTTTTATTTTACTAATTCGGCAGCGAATTCCTAATTATGGATAATTTAATTGGGGAATGCATCTTAATTTATGATTTTTTCACTCAGAATCCAGAGCCATATGCCGGTACATATGTAACAAGTATGTAGATAAGGGAAACAAGGGTTTGTACGGTATGAATCCATTGGCAAAAGCCTCAATAGATCAGTGGCTGGAGGCCGAAGGGCAGAGCTTCAGCCCTCCGAGCTCAACGCTGGTGTTTCAGCTTGCGTTCGCGCCGAGAATGAAGCTGAAGCAAGACGAGGGAGCGATAAGGCAGAATGAAGAGAAGTTTGCCAAGGTGCTGGATGTGTACGAAAAGAGGCTGGGGGAGAGCCGGTTCTTGGCGGGGGATGAATTCTCGCTGGCTGATCTGTCGCACTTGCCCAACACGCAGTACCTGGTGAATGCCACGGACAGGGGAGAGCTGATTACTTCGAGAGAGAATGTGGGAAGGTGGTGGTCTGAGATATCGAGCCGGGAATCGTGGCAGAAGGTGGTTGAGATGCAAAAGCCTACTTAAAGTTGATCAGTCCTGCAGTTAGCTCACTTGATTGCAGACTTGAATAAATTAGTTGTTGATGTTCTTCAACCAGAAACCTTGTTGTTAGGGTTTGTTGAGTTTGGAGACTGTTTTGGTAAAGAGTTTGCTAAATATGTGATGATTTCTTGGTTCATTATTTATTTAACAAATCAATGTTTCTAAATTACTCTGATAGACGAAGACGAAAATTCAAACCAGGTGCACAGGTTTAACTAGGTGACGTAAAGCATGTGTTGATGTTGGGCTTTATACATGGACTACTCAAGTCTAATTCATTAAAGTAATTTGAGATTCCGAATACCAATTGGCATAAAGAGAGTAATTAACTCTTTTAAGTTTATGCGAGGTTTTTAACTTTTTGATATACAAATGTTTTCCCAACTTTAATATGTGGACAATAATATCACTGGCGCAATGAACGTGTGAACTTCGGACTTCCCTAGATCTACTACTTAATTTATTCCTAATTGGGGCAAATATTGTGGTGCAAGTGGACTTAATTGAAACACCCAATACACCTAGTAAAATTGGTTGGGGTCTTAAAGAAACATCCCGCGAAAAGCCATTGGCTGTGGCTTGTCTCGTTCAGCGAGAGGCCTAAATAAGACCAAGAGCAGTGAGCTCAATCGCCGATGGAGTCGGATGCGAAGGGGAAGGGGGAGATAAGCGTGGAAGGATACAAGGAAAGCAACATAAAGAAAGCCAGGTTGCAGTCGACGCTTGCTGCCCTTGTCAATGATCCTATACTTTCCGACGTTCCCAAAAAACCAACCTTATCCGATGTCGACACTCTCATCAGCCTCGAATTGGGCAGCGCCATGCGCATCTCCGTCCTCAAGCTCGACGGCACTTCCTTCGGTCGGTACTATTCACCTCGGCATTTTCTCGAACACTTCATCTGCCAATTTTTTCAGTTTTTTTTTCCATATATTGTCAATGTATACTGAAGAAAAAACCGATGCATTTGATTTTGGTTGACTGAAGATGTGGCAGTGATGAATTCTGCTACGGTGAAGGACCTTAAGCTTGCAATCAGGAAGAAAATCAATGAGATGGAGCAATCTAAGATGGGTCACCGCCACATTTCATGGTAAGTTCAAAATTGATATTATTCTGTTTGTGTTTGAAAATGAATATGGTTGTCTTGTCATCGTCAGCGGGTCACTTGGCCTCGTGACATTTTAATGTAGTTTTTTTTCCGTTCGGGCTTTACCCCCATTGTCAACCAAAAAGATGGATACAATTAATTACATTTCGATTTTGATTCAATGCGTATGCAATCAGGAATCACGTTTGGAGGAATTTTTGCCTCTCATACCACAATGAGAAGTTGCTTGATGACAATGCTCCAGTTCAGCATTTTGGCATACACAATCATTCTCAGGTTTCCTCTACTATTTGGAATGTTATTCGTTCGAATTGTTACTTACTTTAGGCTTACTTGTGTATATAGCAACGGTAGTTAAACTAACAGATACAAATTGGTCTGGCCGTCTTCCAATTTCACCCCGAGTTGCACCGTTGGTCTTTTCCGTCACTTCTGTCAACTTATTTACTGCTATCCATGTCCTCAGGTGCATTTTGTTCCTTATATTGCGCTCAAGGATTCTCGTAAGCATTCGAAGAGGAGGAGACACCGCTTCTTTCACGGCCTCAGCAGGCTTTCTTGATGCTTCATAGTATTTGCACGGTTTATCTGCTTTTTCCTTTGCTTAATCTTTCTTGCACCACAATGATGCGCAGCTTATGGTTCTTCATTGCTGTAAATATACAACATTCTGTTTTGCAATAAGATGAGATATTTATGCAGCCTCATTTTACCAAAAACTAAAAACCCACCCTGACTAATAAAATACAATAAAAAGATCGAAGCGGGGAAGGAGTTCCTAAGTGCATCTTGCATTGAAAGTTTGAAACTGAAGATTGTGATTTTGATCATGTCTCAGAGCAAAATGGTTGCATAAACTCTGTTTGAAAACCATAAACTACTACATAAATCTCTCTACGCACATCCGAAAAGCTCACTCGAGCTGGAATCGACTTAGTTTCCATGGCCTGTCTGAATCTTGAGCTGCAAACTTTCCTTGTACTCTTTCAACTCTCTCTTGTATCTTGCTTTGTCTTGCAACCCAATATTCTGGTAAACCTAATAATAAAAAAATTTGACAAAAGAATGTGATAAATATAAATATGAAAGGTAATTAAGCAACTATATATACGTAGGAGCAGCTAAGTGGGGATCCTGTTTTACTGTAGTAAAAAAGGGGATAGTTAAGGATAGGCCGGTGGCCTATGGACGATAGGGCCCAGAGGAACCATGTATTTACCGTCTAGGATCCTTATGGTGAATACATGGTTCCTATGGGCCCTATCGTCCCTTTCTTTCTATAATACAACGAGATCCCTGCTAAGAAGTATATATGTTATCTATTTGTGGTTACCAGCCTCTCTTCTGCAGGGAGTTTGTTCCAAGACTCGCCAATCATCTTGGTAAACTCCCTCTCTCTGTTTGGGTAATGGGACTTGAGCTTGAAATGCGTTTCTGCAAAGAAGAAATTGTAGCCGCTCCGGTTGGGTTTTGGGTAGTTGGGGTCTGTCCTCCTCCTTGATCTCCTCCTCCTCAAACCCGCAACACGACCAGATGTTGCGGGCGTGTAGGGTACAATGGCATTGACAGGTTCGGGGGATGGAGTTGGATTAGGACCGGCTAGAGTCTGCTGGTTGGGGTGGTAGAGTACTCCGCTGAGAATCTCCGAACCCAACTTCACCGTTACAAGATAGCCGCAATCGAATTTCCCATCAATTGTTCCAGTACCTGAAAAAAATAAAAAAAAAACCATCGTCATGATGTTTTTATTCTAATTAACCTTGATTAAGTTGAAATTTGATAGATCACTGATCTAGATCTTAGTTACATTACATGCTCCAAACAAAAACCTCATTCGTGGATGATACGAGGAAACATGATCATTCGTCAGAAATAAGGGATTAAAATGGTCCCATATCTGTCGTGTGTGGGGGTGACATGGACCCATCATTGCACGCTGTGACATACGATATATATCTATGTCATAAAAGTTGGAAGTTTAGGTATATATCTATGTCATAAAAGTTAGAAGTTAAAGAAAGTGTTATTCGGCCTATTCACACATCTATTTTTATCTTTCAAAAACCTTTTGTTTATTTTTTGTCATTGATCTTCTTCAATTTATTTGATCCGACAATCAAAAAATAAAAAATGCATGAGAAGTAAAGTGGGCGTTTATTACCCAAATTTGGAGATTTTTATTATAAGATTGTCTCTAAAAGACTTCATTCAATTTCTAAATTTTTTAATCATCCATATATGTGAACAAATTGATAATTATGGTAGCATACTCTTGATAAATTGCCAATTTGTTTATCATACAGATGGTTAAACAATCTCTAAGTTGAATGATTTTTTAGATGACAATAAAGAGTCCAATTACGACGTTTGTACATTTAATAATGTCACATCAACATTGAAAAAGAAATGACTCTTTATAAGTAAAGAACTAAACTATGTTTATGTCGTAATTCAGCATAACATGATAAAGCTTATCACTATTCCTTTAAAACACTACAATATTATAAAAAAAAAATACAAAAATGTTTTGGGAAAAGGGGGGGGGCCAGAAAAACCATATCAAACATTTGTGGTGAGTGGTTGTGTGATTGAAATCACCTTATCCAATATGATCTGTGTATCGAGAAAAATGAGCCCTATAATATATACCTTCGTCAGTGACCGAAACCGGACAATCATTTATGGGTTTGGTCCCTTTGGCACCTTTGCCTGTGCCTGTGGGGGAATATTCAACCGGCGCCGGTTCTGGTTTCTCTGCGCACTCACAATGGTTACTAATGGAAAATGCAGAAACAAAGAGACACGGAAACTAAACTATTATTTACTTGAACCTCCGATTAATGAAAAAGCTTGAAAATTTAAAAGTTTTAAAGATAAGAAAAAAATAAAATGAATAATACCAGAATTAACTTTTTAATGTAAAAAAATAATTTTTTGTTAAAATGAACAGTTCCTTGGATTTTCGTTAAAACTCACTTAAAAAAAAAAAAAAAAAAAAAAAAAAAAGATGGTAAGAAATTGGAGCAGTAAGAATTAAATGAATACCTGAGGGTGAGGGTGAGGGTGTGGGCGTGGGAGTAGATAAAGGACCCTGTGTCCTAAAAAAGTGAACCTGTTCGTAATGGTAAAGAAGGGTTGAGTAGTGTTTCCTCAACACAAATGAAGCGCTTGTTGTTGTTGGGGAGAACATGAAAACACCTCCCACTTCCCTCCATTTCTTCTCTGCAACTACCTGCATATATAATTTAATACATATGATGTTCTAATCTTTCTTTTATCCTTTAATTAAAAAATGAAAATGTTAATAATTATTTAATTTAGTTAAATGAAGAAATATAGATAAATTGATAGCCAAACCTTGTCAAAGCCACCCCTCCTTGTTACCTCTACATATAACATGTGCAAATCTAGCTCCTTCCCTCCAATCACAGGAACCCTTGAAGAAAAAATAGATATTAAAATTCCTGACCTTTAAAGTTCCCATGAGTTTTCTGGTCGTACCCAAATCCTCAAGAATAAATTAAATTTTGGGATCATAAAAAATAAAGAAAAATAAGAGGAGAAGGAGAAGAAGAGTAGGGTTACATAAACTTGGTGGTGTTGATCTTGAAATGGAAGCGCCGGAGAGTATCCCAAAAAACAACAGCGTCCTTCACAACCTCCTCGTGAGTGGCAAGTGGTGCTGGATAATGCACACCCTGCAGAACCTGCTCTCTCCTCACTACCGGCGACATCTCCTCCCCCTCTCTTCTTCTCCGCCACACCCTCGCCGGAAAGCCACCAACAAGGGTGAGAGTAAAGAAAACACTACTAATGAGATATATAACAGTTATAAGTAAAAGAGTAAAGAGTGTATAAAGACCAAAGAAAGCGATGATTTCCGGGATAAGCTTAACGCGTAATTAAGCTATACATTAAATACTCTGACCAAAGCTTAAGAAAGAAATTGGGACGCGTGAGATGTATGTAACGCTTGTGCCGAATTGATTTTTTCTGTCATTTCGAAGCCTCCTCTTAAGCTAATTAATTAATTAATTGCGCTCTCACTACTCTCTCTCTTTCTCTCTCCCCTCCGTGTAATGTTTGAGTTGTTCGAAGACTGACATCCATCTGTACGTATCTAGCTAGCTCTCTGTATAATATCTCTCTGAGGACTGAGGACTGACGGGAGAGAGAGAGAGGAGAAACGAGAAACCTCACTTCCCTCTCTTGTCTTTGTGCAAAGTCCGAGAGGAGGTTTGACATGCAGTCTCCTTTCATGTCTCTTCTCTATATATCTCACACGCGTCTTCCGTTTTAACGGTGGTTAACTTCTGTTAGGTTATATTATTCTGCAAGGAAAAATAATTATAAAACATCCAGTAAACTTTCATCCGAACACCCCAACCATCCCAAAAGTTGCAATAATTCTCATTAATGCGTGTACCATGAAAAAACATATCTTTGAAGATTGGACTTGAATGGAATCGGAGTTGTCGGCTGAAATCCAATTGAACCGGAGTCGGCATTAGAAGGAGAAACACAAATCAAGGCCGAGGGTGTTGTCGCCGGGGAGGTGGGGTGGTTGAGGTGGGTAGCTGACGGCGCCTGTTGCTTGGCTATCTTATACTCCTCATGTATTTTGGTGATATTTTTGTTCCATCTAAACGCATAATAATAACTTAACAGAAGTTTATCTCCTTCAAAGTGCATGGCACATGGCAAATAAATAGATAGGAAACACAGAAGGAGACACTGTTTTAGAAACAGCAGATCCTTGGCCGTTGCTCCAGTGCCTATGAAACTGTTGACTGAAACAAAATCTTGGCGTACATCCGCTGGTAGATACTGCCGGTGACCAACTTCTCTGGTTGTTTCCAGTGCATTCAACCCCATCGGAAGCTTATCCATGCACGCAACCTGCATCGTTGATTAAGTTTGACTATTTGACTTCGGTCCTTGCGCTATATGGGGGCCCGGATTTGGTAAATACCAGATAGTATATTTTTGGTGATTTCTGAGAAAAGATCTTTGCCGGATCTTCTTTATGATCTTGGAAATTATCTAATTATATTCATTCATCGTGTATCGTGTAATTAATTTTCGTTATGTATTGTTAATATTCAATTTTAAATTAAAAAAAATTCTAATAATTTCTGACCATACGATGTACAATAAACAAATATGAATTAAAAATCTCCCAAATCCTTAGAGAATCCGACAAGAATCTCGAGCGGTGATTTCTCTCCATCAGTGCAGCTAGCTGCCGGGTGGTTTAAGATTGTTGTGCACGAAAATCCTTTTCATCATTTATGGCCCGTCTCATTTTTATCCCTCAACCATTTATCAATTATCATAAGATTTTGCATGCCATTTAATAATCCTGTAGGAGTATAACTAGAGCTATCGTAAATATTGCCTTACCAAAGTTGACCTCAATGGACACAACTCAAGCGCTCCTAATGAACAATAGTTCACGTGGGCATGGTTTGGTTCGATTCGATTTCATCCTTAAAATGGAACTGGAACGGAAAAATTTCAACGGTTTGGTTTGGTGCAGTTCTGCTTAAATTTATTACTAAAATTGTACAGTTCAATTTATGCCGGTTTACAGTTCTAACCAAAATTAAATATATGTTTTTTTCTAATTTTCTACTTCTAATACCAAACACATATTTGAACCACAAATTCAAGTAAATTTGAATTTCCACTACTAGATCTATAAGATTTGTGATCGGAAGATAGAAAGTGTGCATATAAATATAAATCAAAAGATAAAAAAAGCTCATATCAAGACCAAAGTGTAGATCTTAAATTAAAACTAAAATGTACATAATGCATAATATATTGGAAAATAATGGAGAAAAATAATGCAAGAGGAGAAAAGTGATAAAATAACAAAAGAGGGGGAGAGAAGTGAAGAAAAATATTGGGCTTATGCACATGGTCTTCTTGGAAAAATGTCTTATTTATGTAAAAATAATAATATAATAATAATTTATATTAAAAACGGTTCGGTCCAGTTCCTCTAGTTCTTAATATCAAACCATAACCGGAACCGTTTGAAACGGTTCGATTCAGTTTTTGTTCCGGTTTTGACTTTTTTTATCAACGCGATTTTTTACGGTTTTTTTTGTCACAATTTGATTCGGTTTTCCAGTTTGACGGTTTTTATGCCCACCCCTAATTCACCATCTTACTATATTTAGAATAGTAGTTGACCTCTTGCAGTAAGTCAACTATGTTTAGATCGAATTTGGAGTGTGATCATATCAATGTTTCAGACAATTATTTGCAGTTAAGATACCGAGTCAGATAGTTTCCTTGTAATAATTTACAATTAAGAATATGAAGTCAAATAATGGTATACAACTATAATGATGTCTATTAAAGTTTCTTACAAACAAACTATAATTTTACGCCTACTCATAATTGTTATTTTTTCGATTTCAATGAGTTAGTTTTACATACGTATTAGCTAGCGATTTATAGTTACAAAAAAAATTTAGTAGAAGAGTCCCCTATAGTAGGATGCAGTATGAAATTATGGTCTTTAAAAATCATAGGGATGAAGTAAATACAAATTTTTGTTACTTAATATTTGTCACATTCTGGCCCGAGCACCACCATATCTCGGGTTCGATTCTGCCGTAACACGATATTGTCCGTTTTGGGTCCTAACTTCGCCCTCATGGTTTTGTTTCTGGGAACTCACACGAGAACTTCCCAGTGGGTCACCCATCATGGGATTGCTTTTGCGCGCTACTCGCTTAGCTTCGGAGTTCCAACGGAACTCGAAGCTAGTGAGCTCCCAAAAGGCCTCATGCTAGGTAGGAATGAGAATATACATATAAGGATCACTTCCCTGCGCGATGTGGGACCTTACAATCCACCCCCTTAAGGGCCCGATGTCCTCGTCGGCACACCATGACCAGGGTTAGGCTCTGATACCAAATTGTCACATCCCGGCCCGAGCACCACCACATCCCAAGCTCGACTCCACCGTAGTACGATATTTTCCGCTTTGGGCCCCAACCACGCCCTCACGGTTTTGTTTATGGGAACTCACACGAGAACTTACCAGTGGGTCACCCATCATGAGATTGCTCTCGCGCGCTACTCGCTTAACTTCGAAGTTCCGACATAACCCGAAGCTAGTGAGCTTCCAAAAGCTTCGTGCTAGGTAGGGATGAGAATGTACATATAAGGATCACTCCCCTAGGCAATGTGGGATCTTATAGTATTAGTCTTATTCACTTGAAATGAAAATCTTAGATTCGATTCCCATGAACAACAAGTTTAATACCAATTTATTATAACTAATTTATTGTATCAAAATATCTATACTGAAGGTAAAGTAGAAAACTATAAATTATGTAGGGTTGGTTTGATATGGGATACCGAACCAAAAATAGTATATCAAGTCCCAAATTGATTATTTTTGGGAAGGGGATCTGACGACCGATCCCAAACTAAAATTTCGGTATTCCCAAAATATTTTTCAATATTTCGGAATTTCTAGAAACCGAACCTACATCAAAATCCAAATCATATAGATTGAAATTAAAATCATCCAAACCTGCATTAAAACCCCAAATAAAAAAGAGTCAATGAGTGAATCAATGAAGATTGAAGGTTGAGAGAGACAAAGTGAAGAGATAGTCAAACACGCGTCTTCCTCCTGACCCAAGCCCCCAATTTGAAACCCCCAAGACACATAGAATCGTTGGAGATAATTGGAGGTGGGGATGAAGCAACGAGGTGTGGTGGTGCCCAAAGTGGAGAGAGTTGGTCGAAGTTAAATTGTGAGAGGATGGGTGGGTGGGTGGCTTTTGAGCTTCGAATTCAAGAGGAAAGACAGAGAGTCTGAAACTCTCGGTGAAGGCAGAGATGGGAGAGAGTGAGTAGGGATGTGTCTTTAATAATATAATAGGCCCTTTACACTTTACTTATTTTAATAATATACTAGCATTTGCCTACACATTTTTTTAGAAAATGAGAATGAAAGAGGGAAAGAGAGAGAGAGAGAGAGAAAGATAACGGGAAGGGAGCGGGAGGTTTTGGTTTTTATTATTATTTTTATTTATTTTACATAATAGAGATATTTTAACATCATATGTAGGTGAGGTTTAAATAAATAAAAAAAAAGAGCAAAATTTGGACATGTGAAATTACATTTTTGCCCATCATTTTTTTTGTATGATAGAAGACTAAGTTGTCTTTTCTCCCTCTTTTGGTTGACAAAGAGAGTTTCATTAATTAGTAGAAATAATAGGGCTATTACAGATGTTCCAACATATATACATATATAAAATATATTTATTAAAGTTCGGTTCGGGACATGAATACCAAATGATGTTAAGATGTGAGACCGAATCCCATACCGAATAATTCGGAATCGGTTCGGTTTCAGTACTAAAATTTTCGAGATTTTCAGTTCGGACTTTTTTCAGTTCGGTTTTGGTATGGTTTGAAATTTCCGGTATTTTTTTCCATCCTTAAATTATGTTAGGGGATGGGTGTAATGTTATTTTTCTCTGCCTTTTATGGGCTTAAAACTGAGCCGACATGGATGGCCCAAAACATAAAGTAGGGTTTAATTTTCCCAGATTAGTGCTATTCCATTGTAATCCAGGGCTTGCCTAATATCCAGGACTTGAAAGGCCTCGAAACATTTTGGGAAGCAGCTCCAACTTCTCACTCATTAACACAGCATGTTTTGTTTTGTTCCCCCAAGTTATACCTGAATATTAAATTTCAAAAGTTCAAAAAGCATCCACGAGGGCATGTGGTCTAGTGGTATGATTCTAGCTTTGGGTGCGAGAGATCCCGAGTTCGATTCTCGGAATGCCCCTATCTATCCTTCTTCTTCTTATGTTTTCAACTTCTTCAACCTCTTGAAGCAATTATTCATTGTTCGATTATCGGAACACCCCTTTCTTTTGTTTTGTTAAAGGTGAGGTCGGGTGCCGGCCACATTGTGAAGAAGTTACGGTGGACCTTTCAAACTATGCATGCTACACCTTGTTATATTAGATGAAAAATGATTAGGGGATTTTTTTCAAAGTGGAACTGACTTTCTGCTATTTCATAGTTTAACGTTAATTCTTGTGCTAACATTATATCTCATTTTCGAGAGTCTCCTCAGCATTTTGCATATTAGATTATAACATGTTGATCAATGATTATACCACGGTTTTAACTTAATTATATTCGATAAAAGTAGCATTAGTTAATCGGTCATTTGGCCTATGTACGTAGTTTGGTGAATTACGAAGAACAAAGGGTTTGCAAAGTTTCCATCGAGATTGGACGGGTGGTAGTTGGTCCTAGTGGGTCTCATTCATTATCTCCACCATCTATATATCAACTAATATCGTTTATTTATTTTATATGAACATATATATATCAACCATATATTATCAAAACAATATAATTCGCTTTATTTATTTCGTTATCTCAACCATACACACTTATTTTATATGAACATATATATCAACTAATATCGATTTGAATAGTATGATCTAGTTGGGTTAACAACCCTTATTTAGGGATCTGTTTCCTTAATTCTATTGCAAGATTAAATGTTAATTTACTTTGAATGTGTAAATTTCACGAATTTCAATATTTTTGCTTGGATAATTACATAAGGTAATTAAATTGTAATTTGTTCTTACCATATCTTAAATATTACCATGGACGTAGACCATTTACAGGTAGATGTTTCTATGTCACGTTCCCAACCACATTTTTGCTGCTACTAATAATCATGAAAATATTGCCTTAATTATATCAAACAATTATCAACAATCCATTGAATCCACAGGCACTTTGCAAACTTGGTAAACTACCTGCACCGAGGTAGACCATTCGGAAGATTCTTAAGAATATACCCACCTCAATGCCCTCGCTCATCATCCTCCATCACACTCATTTGTTTGGGCTCCATTATCCGGCATTTGATTCAATTTTTTATTGGGAAATCACACGATAGTGGTTATGAGAATGCTGAAATACCTCTGTGTATTATCTCGATTTCTGAAATGTGTATTGTCATGATGAAGCTACTAACTGGTCCTTTATAATAACAAAAAGATTATACGAGAAATTTTTCAACGTGCCTAAAACACGTTCCGTAATCAAATGTCATATTACAATTGGTTGAATTTTTTTTATTAATGTTTTTTTATCAAGATTCCAACCAATTATAATATATTTTGTGTACCAAATCATGTTCTCGTGCAAATATTCTCTTTCATTTTGCATACTCTAATCCAGAAATTGGGCGCCTCGCCTCGCTATATAATCACGAGAAACAGAAACGCTGCTTTGCACTTTGCAGCAACGCTTTATCATCGTTATCCCTCTCAAAACTTAAAAGCAAAAGCAACCCTCTCCATCCCCTCTTACCTTTTCACACTTTCGGATTTCCGTTTCCAGAGCATATTCTGCTTAATTTTCGCAAATTCCACTATATAATTAATAAATACAACTAAATCGAGAAAGTTAAAAATTTATAAAAAATGAATTATTTTTCTTCTCCTTCCATACCAACACTCTGTCGGACCAGCAACACCTCCTTGAGAAACTTCAAGTGTCTAACATCCAAGGCCGGGACAAACATGGTCGAAACGTTCTTCGCATCGTTGGAAAGTTCTTTCCAGGTAATTATTTGAAAAAATCCAATGTCTTTTTATTTTAGCGCACTCCTTAGTTACAAGTTCGACGCTACCAAACTCAAGATAAAATATTTGTTGCTTAATTAAGACGTTATTAATTTGTTATGCTGAATTTATTTTTGTTATGTTAAATGTTCACGATCAGCTCGAAGTGTGACCAACGAGGCTGTGAACAAGTACTTGGAGGAGAAAATATTCCCAAAGTTAGGGGAAAAGGCTTACTTCTCGGTGGTGTACGTGCACACAGATGTGAATCGCGGTGACAACCGGAATTTCAACCCTCCAATCCATCTACGAGGCAATTACGACTGCCATCAAGGATCGCCTCCAAGCTGTTTACTTTCTCCACCCGGGATTGCAGGCCAAGCTCTTCCTCGCCACCTTTGGTCGTCTCCCTTTCACCGGAGGGTACATTACGTAACACTAATTAACAAACATCGATGCATATTTAATTAAGATGGTTATTAACACGATCAAATATTAACTAACAGTTTTATCAAACGTTGACCCATGGCGCACGTTAGTGAATGGTAATGGTGATGAGTGGCTTGTGGTTTTATTGGTGGACCTGCAGGTTGTACAAGAAGCTAAAATATGTGCAAAGGCTGGAGTTTCTGTGGAACCAGGTGCGGAGGAATGAGGTGGAGGTTCCGGAGTTGGTGTACGATTACGATGAGGAGCTGGAGTGCCCTCCGATCATGGATTATGGATTAGAGAGTGATCACCCCAGAGTCTACGAAGCTTCCTGTTTTGCGTCTTCTATGACGTCGTCTACGCTGGATTGGCCTGCTGTTTCCATGTACTCCATGCGTTGTATTGCCTAGCTAGGCTGCACCTAAGTTGGAGGATATGAGTTTGTTTTAGGTTGTTCCTAGTAACTTCAAATTGTACGAAAATTTCAAGTCCGAAAAAATCGGTTTGATTTCTGTTTCGTACTTGGTTCCTCAGTAAAGAATGTCTGGGTCGTTTACAAACACATCAGAAATGGCATTAGGCTCTCCGGTTTGGCCATACGCAGCATGAATCTCAGTCCAAAATTTGATAGGTAGGCATAGTTTCTCAGTTGTAAGAAACACTTGTGCACCGATGCGTTTTTGTTAGAAATGTTTTTACTACAATTTTGTTCCAAGCCCTTCCAGATCCAGGTGTGTATCCAGGAAACGATTCAACGAAACCAAACGAAGTTGTAAGTTTTTCTGTCAAACAAAATCAAAATCGTACCCTCTCCCTATACATCAATGATCTCGTAATTTTAACTCAATTGGGATAATGATCTCTCAACTAAAAATTCATTACCATTGGTCTCTCAACTCATCAAAACGTGCAACTATAATCCTTCAACTAAAAATATATTACCATTGGTCCCTCAACTTTAATCCAACTAGAGAAATGATCCCTCAATTTTAACCCAATTGGAGCAATGGTCCCTTAACTTAAACTCAATTGGAGCAATGATCCCTCAACTATAACCTAATTGTAGCAATGGTCCTTTCAACATAAATCATTTTGACAAAATTATGACGAAATTGACGACACTGACCATAGCTACACGTTTTGATGAATTGAGGGACTCCAATTATAGTAATGGTCTTTCCAACATAACTCATTTTGACAAAATTCTGACGAAGTTGGCGAAAATGACCATAGCTAAACACTTTAATGAGTTGAGAGATCAATGGTAATGAATTTTTAGTTGAGAGACCATTGCTCCAATTTGATTAAAATTGAAGAACTATTGCTACAATTTACTTTAAAGAAAAAGGTTTTGTCTTCGTTATTAAAAAGACCGGCCCCGAAAGGCCACTTGCAATAGCTAAAGGACAATACTAACCTATCGTCCGGCCTAGCCACGTGAAGTAGACAGGTAATGTCCAAAAAATCACCATTAATTCATAGGCCAATTGCCAAATAATTTCAGCAAAATTTGAGAATCCCTGCTTCTACAAAACGAAAACTAATCACCACCACAATGTTTCATCTGTCATTGACAAATTGTACATCAGTCCATCTGAGACGAGGGGAATCTGCCGTGTAACCGGATCATATCCCCCTGCACACAACGCTCTTAGCGTTAGTGCGACACAAAGATACACATCCGGCGACGTATGAGAGTTTCTCCGATGACACATTTTGTTTAAATCATCTAAACACCACTCGGCCAACGTTAACCAATCTCATCACCCTATCACCTAAACCATCCAACACCACAAGTCACCTCCCTTGCACACCAAGTTACTAGAGAGATTGATACAAAAGGGCAGTATCTGTGTTATTAAACATTGATATATAATGGATTACTGCAGAGTAGAGTGTCAATTATTACATAGAATGTATAAACAAATGCACGAAACAGAAAACATAGAAATAATTATATACAAACCATCGTTTAACATTACAATTAACACCGGATAATTGCGATTACTTACCATTCAATTGAATTGATGATCCTGCCTTCACTGCATCAGCATGGATTTGGAGTTACCCAAAGAGGTAGAGAACCGGCAGGCCAATGCACCTCATAATTCGAATTCCTTGGATAAGGGGGCAACTCTTGAATTGTTCCATCCCACAATTTGAAAATGCCCGAATCATATCCCCAGACTCCGCTCTCATTGTTTGATTCCGAATAATCGTCTGTGAAATAAACGCAGTTTCCAAGGCTTCCCGGAAAATCAGACGCCGACAATGAAAACGATGAGTTTTCACCGATAAACACCATCCTATCACCCAAGTTCTCAACCTTGTCCCACCTCTCCCCCAACCAATTCATCCTAAAAACATCAAATTTCGCTGTCCTGTAATTTACATTTGCATTGTACACCAGAAAACCATAATCAATCTGCAAATACCGACTCACCAACAACAAATCATCCCCTGAACTAACCAAATATCGCATGTCCGCATCCTCTAGTCTCGGCGTTCGGATTAACCTGACCCTAGGCGGAGACGGACCATTAACATCGCACTCCGCCACGGTGCCCTTCTTGTCGACGGCGTAAAACAAACCGTTGACAGATACGACATCCTCGGAATACGACTGTGCGCCGTCGATAAAAGTCCAGGTCTGGTCTCCGTCCCTGCAAAACGCCAAGTCGCCGGTTTGATTGACAATCGCTACGGCGGTGAAAGTGAAGCCCCTGGCTTCCAGAGGACTCGAAGAAAGGACCACCTTTTTCAGAAACGAATCGCGCATCTGGGTCAGGCTGCGCGTGTAGACGTCACCGGACGGGGATACGAGGGCGTATTCTCGGCCAACATCGGCGTAATCAAATCGAACAACGTTGGGGAAGGTGGAGAGCGGAGGGAGGTGGCGCTTGGCGCGCGTGAGGGGGTTAACGAGGAGGACGGAAGGGGTCTCGTCGAGGATGACGAGCCATCCGTGGGAGGAGCCGCAGCGGCGCTTACGGTGAGAAGCTTCTGGAAGGTGGAGGAAGTGGACTCTGCTGTTAGAGATGTTGAAGAAGGCGCGGTGGGATTGGTTGGGCTGGGATTGGGGGAGCATCAGCCAAGGGAGCTGGGGAGGGAGGTGGTGCGGGGTTTTGGGGACGGAGGCTCGCCAGCTGTGACACACCACCCGGAATCGGAGGTAGTCGGCGTAGATTGTGAGCTTTTTGGAGATTGATTCGGCGAGTTCTGGTGGTAGTTGGGTCCAATCCACCTCCATTCTCGCTGGTAGACACGAAGGACCCCACCGCCCCCCGCCACAGAGGTTTGGCTTTCCTTCTCACTTGAACAATATTCTGTCGCTCTAATTCAATTCAACTTTACATATAAAAAATATTCCACCACATTTGAGTTTACATTGGACCACTGGGAAGGTCGCTCTGGAATTTGGAAATGAAACTGGGCCGTTAAGCCAAGGCCCATGATGTTCACGGGCTCACGTGCTGACGAAAATTCTCACAAGCTGGAGTGAAGGACCAATGTTCCTCATGTTGCCAAATTCAAGTACCGAGCGATGTTAACGGACTCTAAGTTCAGGAGCCGAAGTTACATTTTTTGTTTTCCGTAAAATGTCGATTTAGTTTTTGAATTATTATTTTAGTAAAAATTAGGCTCATGAATTATTTTTTCAGTAAAATAAGTATCTAAATTTATTAAAAATTACAAATTTCTTCCCTACTATTATATTCAAAGCTATTTTATCTAATTTTTCGTCAACTTAAGTCATTTCACACTTTAGAATGTAATATTGTTATTTTCTCGCCTATAAGCCCTTAACATATTATATAGGACGCGAATTTAACGTCTAATTTATCCACCAAAGTTAACTCCATACGCTATTTCTTTATAAAAGAAAATTACCAATCTACCCTCCAGTGTGTATCACATGCAAGTAACGTGACTTAAATTGACGAAAAATTGAATATAGTATCTTCAAATCTAATATTAAGGATGTAATTGACACTTTTTTTTTTTTTTTTTAATTCAAGGATTGATTTTTTTGAAAAAAAATAGTTTAAAAACTTAATTTTCATGATAATTCAGAGACTAAATTAGCAATTCATCATTCCCTAAAAGACATAAGAGTTTGTCTTCATTGAAGAAACCTGATTCCCTGTGGAAAAAAAAACTTACTCGGGGGCGACATTACCCGCATCAGCACTTATTCCGTTGGCGGTGTTTCCATGGTTCTCGGCAGGACCTAAATCCGGATAGTTACGGTGGTTGAGGGAGTGCAACCAGAGACCCACAACACCTTCTTTATGCTCAGTGGATGCAATGTGAGCGTATATATGCTTCATCTTGAAGTCTTCTGCCTCTTGTTCATAGTCTTTCATTGACAGTTCTTCATGACTATCTCCCCATTTCTGGTTGTACGACGCAAAGAAGCACTCATCCAAGTACAAACCAACCTCAGGAGCCGTCGGCACATTGATGTTAACATCCCTATATTTTGTGCATAATAAACTCAGTTAAGCATACATTACATATTCTCTCAGAGTCAAAAAAAACAAAAAGCACACACCAACATACTATGATGATCCAAGTACTTACTTTTGCAATGCCCTTTCTAGCAATGACTCAGAAGCACATCCCCTGAAGATTGCCACCGCAAGCCCGATCATCTTCCTAATCTGATGAAGCATGAAGCTCTGCCCCACAACTTCACACTTAACGAATTCCATACCCTCAACTGTAACCGTGGTGTTTGCATTGAACGAAATGATGTAGCGCTGAGCAGCAGGATCTACAGCTTTAGTTCTGGTGGTGAAGTTGTGGAAGTTATGAGTCCCCTCATAACTATTCAAAATTTTGTTAAACCTTTCCCTCTCCTTCTCACCATAACAAGATCCACTTCCCCTTCCACTTCCCTCCTCTGTCTTCTCGTCTCCATTAGCCTTCTCTTCACCAAGACTAACATTCGTATCATTCATTGACTCGGAATTCAAATCAGCAGCGTCTGCCTCATTGGGGACCGCTCGATTATTCTCAACCTCAATTTCAGAAACTTCATTGTTATTAATACTGATGCTAATTTCAGTTTTGAGTTCAGAATTCGAAGTATCAACCCCAGCATTCTCCGTAAGAACCCTAGTTTCTTCATTAATGCTAAGGCTAACTTCATTTCTGGGCTCAGAAATCGAATTATCATCCCCAGCATTTCCGGGAAGAACCTTAATTTCTTCACTAATTTCAGATTCAACCATAGCCTCATTGGTGTTCGACGAAATGCCTAGCTCAAAACTCGTCCCCCTCAATTCATACGTGCGCTTACCCATCAAGCCCCCGACTTTACGCCCTCTCTCGGAGCACTCCAAACACTTAACAAACTCCTGATCAGACCCAAGACTGGCCAACACGCTCTCTCTATCGCGATGAGCACTCGGATCAAGAGCAAACACAGGAATGAGATACACATACCTTCTCCGATCACAGAACTTCTTCGCGTTAAACGACGCTGTGACGCGTTTATAGCCGAAAATCCGAATCTGAGGAGAAAGGTTTGAATTGAGGCGGTCGACGAATCCCGGTGGATCAACATAGAAGCGGCCCGAGACAACCTGGCCCACGGCGCTGACCCCCTTATCGGTGCGGGCGGAGCGGGCCCAATCGTAGCGCTTAGGGCTGTTGCGGTCCTGCTCGGGGACGGCGTTGGAGAGGTAAAGAGCTTCTTCGAGGTCGCCCTCGATGGTTTTGGCGCCTGGATTCTTTTGCATTCCTTGGTATCCCACACCTAAATAAGCGAAGAAAATTGCAACCTTTCGACGCTTGTACCTGGGCGTTTTGGCTGTGGTGGTGGTGGCTTCTTCGTCGTCGCTGGTGGACATTTTGAGCTTCTTGGGCTCTGGCTCGTGTGGCTGGGGCGGCGGTGGTGATCTAGTGGGTTTCGTATCTGGGTTCTCCATGTTCAGTGATGAGAGTGGGGCTTGTTAACGTTGGTCGAGGACTCCATTTTCATTAACAGGCCGCTGTAGGCATTTTGTGGAGATATGTAGTTCTCTCTGTACCCTGATAAAACCCTAGAATGTGACCATGTTTTACTTGCCTTTTTTTTCAAAAAATAAAAAATAAAATAAAAAGGAAAATATTATGAAAGAAAAAAAAAATTATAGACATTAAAATAATTTTTTAAAAAAATCCTGTACATTAAAGTAATTTTTTATTTGAAAAAAAAATTCATGCTTTTAGACCTACCTTTTTTGGAGTAAAACTCAAATTTTAGATTCTATATTTATCCTAATTTACTCCAATTCTTGGGTCAAATATGAGTTTTAACGTAAAACTTATGTTTGGGGGCAAATTTAAATTTATTAGATTAGATATTAAATTAGGAAACCAACAAATTTCAAATTCACGCTGTGATGTAAGAATAATACTCATCTCCACCATATTTATCTCCATCTTCTTTCATTTTATATAAGTTTATATTTACACAAAAAGTGTAACTAGAAAATAAAAGGGATTAACATAGAATATGTAAAGTCATCCCCCTCTTCAATGTATTTTCCCGCTTATGGAGATAACCCACCATGGTAAGAAAGTGTGTATGGTCACAAAGTCAAACATTAGCGGGGTCATTGGCTGCCGACAACTTAAAAAACTTCATGTATATTTTTATGTGTATTTATTTAACTGTATAAATCATCAAGACAAGCTAAATTATAACATCTTCTTTCTATTTCTACGTTTTTTTTTTTTTTTTATCATTCTTATCCTTCTTTTCTCTCTTCTTATATGTAATCTATTGTGCCACCTCGATGAAATACTTTAGTTGACAAACGTCGGCAACCTTTATCATTATTTTATTGTTTCTGTAGCCACTTCCGACAAGACTTTACATATCGTATGAGTTGATGGCATAATATATTTTTTATGCACATATTATTTGAATATATCAATACCTCGTTTCAACGGTTCATGTTGCAGCACGTCAATTTCTTAACCCGGCAGAGTACTTGGAATTACGAAATCATGAATGATTTATCACCGTCCAAGTCCAACGCATCATTTTTCTTAACGTGCCCAATTGCCTAACAAGCACAAAGCCAAACATCCGATCCCGCCATTCACAACGCACCTTCCCTCCATTTCCATCTCTCTTGTTTTCCTCCTTTCCAAATTCCAACTCCCTTCTGCCATCGCCCTTCGATATCGAATCCTTTTTCTTCCTTTTACAGCAGAATATCTATATTCTCTCGTCACCTTTTCAACTTCAACTTGTATCGTGCGTCCGCGTGATTCGAATTCGGTGGTCTCCCTCGAATTTTCAGCTTTTTCTGTCCTATTTAAGCTGCCCAACGGCGCAACCCCAGACCCACAACCGCAACCGCAATCGCATTCGCAGCCAGCCATAGAGCCTTCGGTACGTCTCTATTTTCTCCCGTGCGAATTTTGCAGTTGTAATTCTGATTGCTTCTGATCGCATCACTTAGAAAACTTGCTGAATTCGTATTAATTAAGAATGCCAAAAGTCTGAAGCCCTGCATTTATTCATATACTTATGCTTGCATTCGTGTTTGATTTTGTTAATCTTAACCTGTACGACTTTTTTCTTGCGGACTATGAGACGAAACAGATGAACGTATATCATCACCAAGATTTCATTGTCTTCTCCTCCATTTTGTGTCGTCTTGCCAATGTTTTGGTGCACTCATGTCGTTCATCCATGTAGGATAACCGCCCGTGCCTTACCTGCAATCCGGGGCCGAGTTGGGAAACTACATCCTGAGTCAAATGGGTTACGGAAGTAATGTATGCATGCCTTCTCAATCTCTCTTTCATTCACGCACGCACGCACACTCACAAGATTGGAGGACTTCTTTTCTCTAACCTTCCATTTTGATGAAATGCAGGATTCACGAGAGAACGCGCAGCAGACTGACATTGGTATGCTTTTGCTTTCGCCTGCCGATGCTTTCCATTAATTTTCTCTTTGATTAAAGGGGATAAGGGATTCAGATAGGCCGTATGAAAAGGCAGATCTTACTTTGTCTTGTGAATTTGGAAATTTCAATCATGAACATTGAGAATTTAACTGTACCTGTTGAATAAGCATAGATTAGGCTCATTAGTTTATCTTGTGTTCATACTAATGTGATACTTTGCTGGCGTTTGAAAGTTTGGTTCATGGAGAACATTTTGTATATCGTCCTTTTCTTGACACTAAAGAATGCTTTTGAATTCATATGCAGGTGCAGCGGTGCGCAATGGAAGAGAAATCCTTTTTCAGGTAAATTTTACACTTTCCGCATAATATTAAGATAGGTTCAACATCTTGTTGGAGCCATTTTATACATATAATATATAGTCCTTATGGAATATGGTAATCCTGTTATTTGAAGTGATTAAACTGCGGTCTTCTGGATTGTTGGAAAAGTAAATGGTCGATGCTGTATGATGTAAACGTTTTTTTTTTTTTTAACTTGATATTGTAATGATGGTAAATTGTTTTGGTTGCATTAAAGCTATCATAGCTCTCAGCTTAATCAAGAATATGATTTGACCGAACTATATCTACAGGCCTTCAATTGGGAGTCTCATAAACATGATTGGTGGAGAAATTTAGAAACTAAAGTTCCGGATATAGGAAGATCTGGTTTTACATCAGCATGGTTGCCACCTTCAACTCAGTCCTTTGCACCGGAAGGTTGGATGCACAAAATTTCTAGGCTGTTTTCTTGTGCTCTCTGCATATAAATGATTGGATCACCATGTTTGTTTTCTTTTTCTCTTATTATAGGTTACCTTCCGCAGGACATATATTCTCTCAATTCTAAATATGGATCTGAGAACTTGTTAAAATCCTTACTTCATAAAATGAAGCAACATAAAGTTAGAGCAATGGCTGACATAGTTATCAATCATCGTGTTGGGACTACTAGAGGGCATGGTGGAAAGTACAACCGCTATGATGGAATTTCGTTGTCATGGGATGAACGTGCTGTCACATCTTGTACCGGTGGATTGGTAATGAAATCTGTCACTGCTTGAATGACTCTGCATGATTCATGATGCAATGTCTGTTGAGCTCATTGAATATCTCTGTATTTTATATATCAGGGTAATCGAAGCACTGGGGACAATTTCCATGGGGTTCCGAATATTGATCATAGCCAACTTTTTGTTCGAAAAGATATTACAGGATGGCTGCAGTGGCTACGTAATAATGTTGGTTTTCAGGATTTCCGATTTGATTTTGCAAGGGGGTAAGACTTATACTTGCATAAAATTGAGTTTCGTTTTTAACTGGGTTTATGCACCGCGTACGTTTTTCCATGTCTTTGATTTTATTTGGCCTTTACGTGTTTTCAATGTTACAATAGTTATTCGGCAAAATATGTGAAAGAATACATTGAAGGAGCAAAACCAATTTTTTCTGTTGGGGAGTATTGGGATTCTTGCAACTACAACGGTCATGGCCTAGATTACAACCAAGGTATTGGATTATATGGTTTCGAGATGTGCAGGGTATTGGACTATATTACTCTATAAGAAATTAATAAGTTTAACACTGCATACTACCGTATAAAGGGTAGCTTAGCCCTGTTGATAGCATTCCTTTTTGCCCTTTCGTTTGATGTGTATTGTAATTTGCTGTCTTAATTGGGTTCAGGGATCAAATCTCTTTCTACTGAGGATTTGAGCTGACTGTTTGATCTTTATGATGATTGATAATGTTACGCAGATAGCCACAGACAGCGGATAGTAAACTGGATCAACGGCACAGGACAGCTATCAACTGCGTTTGACTTTACAACCAAGGGAATTCTTCAGGTAAATTCCATTTGCAAACAGATTGGCATATCCAACCGCAGCCCACCCCTTTGCACACTGTATGCACAACAGTTCACTAAGATGGACATTTACAATAATAATGAGTCCCGGTCATTAGATCAATTGAGTGGTTAACCTTTTTATTATATATAAGAAAAGAAATCATGTAGCAATCTTCATCAAAGTATCTCTTCGTCTATGAATACTAGTACTCCTCACAAGTATGTCCAGTCTGCTGTATCCGTAGTACTTGCCACCTTTTTTTCCAGATTGTAACAACGTCCATACTCATCAAAATATTTCTTAATCAATGAGTACCATTTCCCTTTCCTTTTTCTTCTGGTTGCCACCTTCCCCTCCTATCTTCTTGTTTAGACTTTGGACATTTATACATGCATTCTATGCAGGAAGCGGTTAAAGGACAATTGTGGCGCCTGCGCGACCCCCAAGGGAAGCCACCAGGTGTAGTTGGATGGTGGCCTTCTCGATCTGTCACCTTCCTAGATAACCATGATACGGGCTCAACGCAGGTACTGTTACTATTCTGTTGTGCTGAAGTAAATATCATTGGGAACTTAGGCTACAATCTTTTGGGCTGAACAAGTCAAGTTTGGGCCTAAGCAACCCTGATTAATACTCTCTGCATTACAACTACATTTTCTCTGCGTACAAGTGTATCACGTTTATGTTACTGTGGTACCTATCTTTTCAGAGATTGGCCGTTTGGTTCCATAGTGAAAGTAAGAAATCCACTCACATTATAATCATTTTGTCTCGCAGGCTCATTGGCCCTTCCCTTCAAATCATGTTATGGAGGTACGAAAACTTGTTTATTAAGTTCAAATGCTTTGCATTTAGATGGGAAATCCAGTTCCTGTCATTGATGTTATTACTGCTGGCAGCTGCTATATTCTAATTGATATGAGAATAATTCTTCAAATCCACCTAAAAATTGGAGTGCAAGTTCTCTAACCTCCAAGTCCATGATTTCCGCAGGGTTACTCGTACATACTCACGCACCCAGGAATACCAACAGTTTTCTACGATCATTTCTATGATTGGGGTGATTCCATTCATGATCAGATTGTGAAACTGGTATGCAGTATAGGCAGTTCCCTTTTCCGACTTGATGTCTTTTGAACAAAAGTTTCTCATTTGTTAGCATTGGCACTTGTCTGCAGATTGACATCAGGAAGCGTCAAGACATTCACAGCCGATCATCTATAACGATCCTAGAGGCCCAACCGAATCTCTACTCTGCTATGATAGGGGAGAAAGTGTGCATGAAAATTGGGGATGGTTCATGGTCCCCAGCCGGTAGGGAGTGGACACTGGCGACCTGTGGTCACAGATATGCTGTTTGGAACAAGTAGCTTAGAAATATTATAGATATAGCTTTTACTTAATTTATGCCCACGCACTATGGTTGTTAATATGTATTTATATCAATAAGACTTACACCAAATAGGATGATAATCGACGTCCTCATCCTCCACCCCATACGCATTGATAAAGGAGGACTTACATGAACGGATATGCTAAAAGGACGAGCTGACGTTTGTATTGTACGGAAGGTTTTTGCACTAGGAATCATTGTAGTAACTTACAAGTATGGAACTGAGACTTCATGTTGTATCATTAGGCCATTTCTAGTGCCCTAAAATAATGTGTTGCTTTATTGGTTAATGTCATATTGAGTGGTCCTATGAGTGGTCCTCTATGCAAAGTATGTCTGACCCCCTCACATTGCGAGGGAGACTTAAATGAAATGGGAATGCCAAGATAATAGTGTCAGAAATCAATTGCACTTCGTTATGTATTTTGATTTTTTCATGTAGTCGCATAATTAGTTTTAAACTACACTAACTATCTTGACGTCTTAATTTTATACAAAGTCTTCCCACGTCAAACTATTTGATTGATATTCAAATAGCAATTGTATATAATCCTGCGCAACAAACGACAATGATAAGAAGAGTAAAACAGTAGGAATGTGGACGAGAAAAATAAAGGTTAGAGATGGTGAGTGGACCGAAAGAAACAGCAAATATGTCCAGTTGACCAATGTCTTTTATCATAAAGACAAGAAAAAGGTGTTTGTGTGTGTTCCAGGTGATTTGTATTATCACCTCTGAATAGCACGAGCCATAAAAACAATCATCGAAGTTTGTAGTAAAAAGAAGAGAAAGCTTTGGTCCCGTAAGAGGATATATGATTTCCCCCGGCCCATATGGACACGAATGTGTAATGCAATCAGACAATTCTTTACCACCAAATATAATAATAAATAACAGTATGCGTTAATATGCAAGATACTGATATCACAATTATAATTTACGACGACCAAAAACAAAAGGCAAATTGTAATATTGGTATCAGATTTCTACCATGCTAAAATTAGGCTAAATTTACTTTGTTACCAACTTGATCGTCTGTATTTTCTTTTTAGTTTTATATAACGATGTTTACGTATGCAGACAATCATGCATACAATTATTGAATGATTCTTGAACAATGAGCTAAGGGGATATATGTACATACATGTATGTATATATATATATATATATCACTTTCTTTGGGTTAAATACTCATTTGTTTGTATTGAATGACACATTTTGAACATTTAAATTAAGGAAAACTAATGAAAATGGCTTGAAAACTTTGAGTTTTAACATAAGGACAAAATAAAGGACAAAGTGAATAGTACCAGGATTGATTTTTTAGTATAAAAATGTGGTTTTTCGTTAAAGTGAACAGTACCGCGAGTTTTTTGTTAAAACTCCCATTAAATTAAGTATTTATAAGGGCATTTGTAACTCATCGAGTGGTTAAGTTAGAATATTCGTGCATTCAAAGTTTTAAGTTTGAATTAAACAAGTTGAGGATTAATAGGTTGACAGATGTGGGAGGTCATCCTGTCTAAAAATAAAAGCTTAGATTTCAACACATTTGTGTCTGTGGGCAGTACTTATACAGGTTCATGAGGAGTTTTAATTTATTAATTAAAAACCTTTCTTCTTTTTCAAAACTTTATTGTAAACTGTGGCAATGGTTGGTGATGGTGGTTGTTCTCGTTCCAATGCTTTCCTTGAACAGATGCAGGGATTAAACGTGCTTTCATCAATCATGAAAACGAATAATATATGTGTGTGTGTGTGTGTGTGAAGTGAATCTGCAGATTTCTTTTCATCACTTGCAGCCTTGCAGGGTGAGTGAAAGTGTTCACATTCTTATTCTCTGCTGCCAAAACATGGTAATTTTCCTTTTTCTTTTCACATTTTCTTCTACGTATGTAGAGGTAGAAAATACCCCAGGCAACAGTTACCCTGGAGTTAAGGTCAACGGAAGAAAGATTACTCTTTGAATAAAATGAAGGAATATTGACTGAGCTCGTGATGTAAACCCGCATGTGCGTGTGGTACGCAGGTAAGGCGATGAGGGGCATATATAGAGCCAACAAACGATTGTGGCCACCGGCCCACCACACAGCAGAAAGCGATCCCGCTCCACTCCACAAAACACTCATTACTCAATTTTGCATGGCGTTTATTCAAAATAAATTAGGTATGTAGGGAGGCTCGCGTTCATCAATTCTCTTCCTTTGCCGTTTTTGCTTCTGACTAGTTGAAAGTAGTCCATCCCCCTCGTTTATATCCCCGTTATAGAAATGTGTTATTCTCTCCCCTCCATCCCCTATTCTCACAGTTGTGTTATTCTCGCCCGGCCCACTCTTTTTCCCTCCCCTCCCCTCACCTCCCCTCCTCTCACGGTTTTTTTATTTTCTTCCCTCTCTACAAAGATCAAAAAACAAAAATTCTTCTTCCCTCTCTACAAAGATCAAAACAAAATAAAATCTTAACCGTTTAAACAGGATGAAAGAGAGAGATAATGACAAGGGGAAAAATCCTTGTCCCATCTAAAGAGGGGTGTTCGGTGATGTTTCTGATCTGCGTTATTTATTGGCATCGTCAGTGGTTCAATCATAATCCTACGTTGCTGTTTAGGTGGTATGGAAAATAGGTACAGGCCTTGGGTGAGAAGAGTGGAAGATAGCAGAGACTTGGACTATATAGAAAGGTATTCGTATTCTTCTTACTTCTCTTGACTTAAGTGAGTGGTAGGGCTGCCATGGCCTCATCAGTCATGATATTAAAAGACGTTGGTCCACCACAAAACCATAATTAAAACACAAATTACTGACACTAAACACAATGGTGGCAGGCATGCATGCATGCCATGCCATAATCACTGAGATATATTACCCCCCTTGTATTTTTTAATCTCACATATAATCAGCATCATTACACATTCAGAAAAAAAGAAAAAAAGAAAAGAAAACAGGAGTCACTGATGATAAGATAACAACATTAATGTCAAAAGTTAGATCCATCCGTAAACTTGAGGAAGCCTTAGCCATCATTTTTGGTCTGACAGTGTTCTAATACTTCTTGTCCATCATCAAATACTAACTGTGTTTCGAGTACTTGACCTCCCTCGTCAAATGCTACCTGTGTTTAGAGAGCTTCCTGCTTCATTCGCTACTTCCTGCAAATCTGGGTTTATATATAAGGTGTATATGGCTCCTCCTCCTCCACCTCGTTGCTTGCAGCTCCTACGATATGATCTCTTAGGTGTTGCTAACCCTAGCTGGGTTAATTAAGTTGGTTCTTGTTTGGGCCTCTCTGTCGTGCTCCCTTGTAAAAAAACCCAAAAATGTTTTCCAAAAAAAAAAATAATAAAATAAACCCAAAAATAAACAGACAATACTCAGAAAACCCTAACTATAGATAGATCGGAATAATTGAACAGTTCATGCAAACAATTATTTTTTTTACAAGTACTACCAAATATTTGGAGAGCAAAATTGAACCCCTTAGTTATGAGGTAAGAAATTAAAGATTTCAGAAATTGGGTATATATATATCTACATAAGTAAGCAAAAACCATATGGAAACTAGGATTCCATTAGCTAGCTACTTCCCAATCATCAGCAGTCGCGGTACCAATCAATTATTAAAAAGAAAATTAGCCAAAATGAGGTGATGAAATTGATCAAACAGAAACAAATTGCAAGAGTTCACTGGTGATGATTGCACTGTTTAAGAGGTGCTCAACTGGCAATATAATTGTTGGACCCAGCAAATTAACAGACCAATAAATTATGGGACCAAAAAAAGCATCTGATCTGTAAAAAAACAGAAAAATCTAATAAACTGGGGAATGATCAGGATGAGCGGCAGTATCAGAAACTGAGGCCCTTGCAGACGAAGAATTCTTACCGTATTGTCACGAGGAAGATCGAGTACTGGTTAAAGATACATCTATGTCGTCACGGGGGTTTTACAAAGAGAAGCCAACAGAGCTCTGTTGGCAGTATGCCCACCTCCATCCATTGAGCCACAGACCCACAGAGAGAGGGGGAGGTGGACAGAATGCCAAAGAACTCTGTAAGAAACTCTTTGCAAAACCCACGTGATCATCCAAGTTTGCAGAACTAGCAACGAGACCCACGCAGACGATTCTTCTAACACAGAAAGATATGGCCAGCGATAACGTAGATGTATATATGGAGTGGATGAGGAATTAGGGTTAGGAGGGGACAGATGGGTTCTATTTATTTTGTTTAGTACTCACAATAAATAGGATGGAAGGTTGTGGGTGTAATTAATTAATTGAGAGCTAGGTTTTAGTACTCTTTCACAGAGAGAAGAGAGAGAGAGAGAAAAGGGGGGTTGGTGGTGGGGGAGGCTAGGTTAAAAAAAGAAAATGAAAAGAAAAGACAGCAGAGAAGATATGTGATGAGATTGGACGGATGGTTGCAATCCTACTCGTAGAGAGAGAGGCTACAGGAGGCATATTTTACGTTTACAAGGATGGATGTTTGGCCAAACGAACAAACCCTATCATCGTCATCATACTTATTCTTCTTCTTCCCCTCTTTTTCCCCTCCCTCGGTTCTGATGAAACCCTCCCTTCACTCTTTTTCTTGCCTTCCTCCCTATCCTCACTCACCCCCAATTAAATCCCCTTTTCACCCCTCAATCCCATCCCATACCATCCCCCCTCGTTTCTGACGCCCAACACAACAAATTCAATAAGATACTTGGATACGTCACCTCTCTCTCTTTCTCTCTCTAGTCTTTAAGAAAAATCACTAAAAAGAAAAGGATTGTGTTTTTCGGAAATCTTCCCTTACATTTTTCACGGTTCTTGGAAAGGGAAAAAGGTTCCTCTTCGAATCCTTTTGCTAAGGATTCTAAGCATCTTACAATCATGTTTATTTATCGTAAATTATATGGTTAATTTTATCAGGTAATATTTATATTTAAATTTTAAAATTTAAATAATTTCTAATTATACGATTTACGATAAACAAACATTATTGCGAGATCTTTAGGATCTCCAAGAAAAGGATCCGATCCCTTTCTCTTGAAAAGGGCCGTCTTAGGCCATTCACTTGACAAAATGCATATATATATATATATATATATATATATATATTTTTTTTTTTTTTCTTCTAAAAATACTACTTTTATTATACATTTGTACCATTATTTGTATCATCTTTCTAATAGAGATAACGGACACACAAGACATGCGAGTCACATCTCTATCAGATAGATGATAGCATTACAATTTGTATCATCATTTGTATCATATCTCTAATAGAAATAACATTACACTTTTCTTTTTCTTTACGAGAGAATAGAGATGGAAAAATAGGATTCTGCAACGATTATATGATATAATTTCTTGGGAAATAGACAAAAATGATCCATTTTCTTAATCTTGGGTCTAAAATAGAAATTTTCAAATATGCACACACGACGTATACAACAATAGGATAGAAATAAGATTTTCTTTAAAACTTAAAATTATCAAATTGCCCTTCCATATAAATGGATTACTCAAAAATTCCAACCCTCATTTCTCATTTTGTAGAGAGAGAAACACAAAGAAGAGGGAGAGAGAAAATCTCTCTCGCCTAATTCCAGCTCAAAGAACCCTAACCCACCCATCTTCTTCATCTAATAGCTCTCTCTCCACCTAAATAATCGACCTCGCAACTCCCAAATCCACAAATTTGAGCTTGCAAAATTCGTTTGAGTTTGATTCGAAACCTTTAGTCAGCATCGAGTACTTTGAATTCGAGCAAAAGCCTCAAATTCTAAAGTAAACAGATCCGAAACCTGCAACCCTGACCCTATCCAATTTATGAGTTCGGACCAGGCCATCGTGAAGCTGGCTACGGTTCAGAAAGTGATTTTAAACGAATAGGAGAATAAGCACTACCGAGAAGTCCAACAAAGGTCGTGGGACAAATATGCGGCGGAGATCCAGGACCCAAAACGCAGAGTCTCCTGGGTGTGTCTAGGGACCTTCAACATGGTAATAGAGGTAGCAAGGGCTTACGATTGAGCGGCGTTCAAGCTCCGCGGCACCAAAGTGATCCTCAACTTGATTTAATTTATTGGATTCAACTTTATATGAAGAATCAAAGATTCATTAATTTGAATTTGGTACCAAATTTGATTGGGTTCAAATATTTCAAGGATTTGAAAATTATACATTGTATGTATATGACATGCACATGATATGCTCACTTATTTGAGTTTAACCCAAAAACTCAGAGTTCACAACTCTCTTCGAATATTGCTAACTATTATATGATAATAAATGACATAAGGACTATATATCCTTGTTATCTTCAACGCCTACCATGTCCTAAACTATGTTAGTGTGAAAAGTATCAAATATGTAAATATGCACCATATACATTATATGCACACCACATGTACAATACATGCACATGATATGCGCAGAATTGGAGATTGAGCAACGAGCTATTTTTCGCATTAATAAGAAACTTTAATGGCAACGTATTGCAATAGTGGATACGATTAAAATATAATTGTTATGTATATAAGGTTACAGTGACAATTTGAAAAGTCTTGTTACGTATATCAACTACCACCTAACCGTGCATGTGGAAAACAAGATACTCGTTGTCGTTATTTCATAGACATGCATGACCCTTAACGTGCTCTAAGCTTTTTCTTAATTTTGTTTTTCACCGAGGCCAACTAGGTTGTGATTATACTCACTAAATTCCGAGGCACAACATATGTGCATAACTAGTGAACATTCCCACTTCTTATATTAAGTTGTAGCCATGCACACCACATGCACATTACAAAAAAAAATTCACAAATTTATGCAATTGGACACTTGAATCAAAAATTGTTCCATCACAATTTTGTAGCACATCAAAAAGTAAAGTTTATTCCACAACCCATAAGCCCAACATGAAACACAAACCCTAATTTAACTTTTAAGTATTAATTCATCTTACAAACAACCCATTTATTCTATAAATCATTGATGTAGAAACTTGGAATTAAACACCCTCCTTTACTATGCTTGCCGAAGCCTTAGTCACCGAAAAAAAATAGAACTTTCCGGCCAAAATAGAAAATATGGTACAAACGTCCTATCTTCATGGATGGAACAATTTGTTGTGTTTGGTTATGGAAGAATAACACACATAGCTCACAGATCTAAGCTCAAACCTAAAAACCCTAACCTCATTCTTCTCACCTCTCTCTCGCATCCCTGTGTTCGAAATCAGAGGTATGAGGTCAACCCAAAATCCAGCTCACTCTTCTCATCTATCTTTGGACTTTCTCTCTTCAAAATCCGAGCTCAACCTAAAAACCCAGAACTCTGTGGCTCTCTCGACATCCCTTTCTTCCAAATAACAAAAATGGTGCAATGAGCTAAGGGTTCTTAGTATTTATATATAGGTATTTTAGTAATTTCAATTTTGTGCATGGCTTGTGCATGATCGATTTGTTCTATTTCTGTCTCAAGATTAAGAAAAATATCATTTTTGTCTATTTCCCTAATTTATTTGCTTATTGTGGCATAGAACTAGCTAAATATTTTTTTATTATGTATTATATTAATGTATAATAAAATATGTTTGAATACATCTGATATTATCCACACTAAAGGTAGGGGGAGTGGTTAAGTCTTACAATGGCCTAGCTATAATTTAGTTCAAATTTTTCTTTGATAAGAATCGAACATAATATTTTTCACTTGCAAGTTAAGAAGAATATCACTAGACCCTAAGCTTCAAAACTAACTAATATTTGATTTTTCATTTATTTGAAGGCATATGATCACCTATCCAGCAAGAGCAATAGCAAGCGATAAAAAGTTAAAAACAATTGGCAAGTAGCAAGGCACACTTTTATCTTGAAGGGTTTAGGGTTTTCTTAGGGTAGTGTTAACACACCTATTTTTGTTTTTCACACATACTTTTTAGTTTTTAACTGTCGAATTGAATGAACTAAAGAAGATCAATAACTAACAATGATATGTGGAAGGTAAAAATGAGTGTGTGAATAACACTATTTTTTATTTTTATAATCACTATATTAGAGCATACAATTTTTGACACTTCTCAAGCATGATTCAGTAGGTTCGAATTTGCTTCCTAAAGTTGAATTTTCAAAAAATGCGCTAATTTCAGCTTAAGGATATTAGACAAATGACTAGGCCTTCGAAACTATATTGGCTATAGTAGATGAATAATGTTTGAGATTTTTAAAAGATGTGTTAGCTCTAACATAATGAAACAGTTTCCATGTGGGAATTGATTTCCCATGTGATCACGGACACTCGTGATAGGGGCTGTTGCATTTTAGAGTGCCGTATCGAGATATAACAAAGTAGAATATTGTAACCGAAGGATTTGCAACAAGGTTCTATGGTACATAACCCAACCTCTTAGTTTGAAGAACCTAAGGGCACGGGTACACTATCCGCCGTAGTGCCTTTCCAATGGCACAAGGCGAATGTGATCACAAACCAGGGTGCACGTGCCCCTCTTAGTTTTATAAAACTACTCGAAATTATCTATTCTTCAATCATGCTCTGTGAAACAAATGATTCAAAAAAGGTTAAACAACGTCGACCCTCCCTCCTCCAGTCCTCTTATAAATTTGAGATCCCCGCTCTATACATGTATAATTTAACTTTTCAGTTTATTCAATATTGACCTAAAGAAACAATTAAAAGAGCAATAAAGTGCGGGGATGTAAGCTAAGAGCACATGGGTTGGCCAAGTGTTTGACGAAATGTTTCATCGTAAAAACTGAAGAAATTATTTTTCCATTGCGCCCTTTATTGTTTAAATGCAACGAGGTAGAGTCCTCCATCCGCCATTACTTAATTGTGCCCGTGGTGAACTAACCTTCTGAATTCTCTCCTGTCATACCATATATGTAAATTTTTATCCACATGACGATGTATAATTGATGCGAAACGCTACGATTATGACAACACATATCCGTTCTATTTACATTACTCTCCCTAGCTAAAGAGCAAGCTTAATTTCGCTAAATTTTGCATCATTCTATTGGTGAGTGATGCTATAAAAAGCTTCACAGGATTTGTATTTGTCATTGGGATTTGACCAGCAAAAAGCTCTAAGCATTTCGAACTAAAGCTTAATTAATTGACAAGCTCGACAAGATTAATGGACAACCTCGTTCTATTGATGAAGGGTCCTACTAAACCACTAAGTTTGGAATCCTAGGTACCCCATGATCATTTCCCTCCTACAAAAATATAGTCATTTTGACCTATATGTGACACACGTATATATACTTTACATTTGACAATGGAACGAAAAGGTAAATTTTAGGTCAATCCTCTCCAATTATTACACCATACAGTAAATAGTTTTAGTGCTTCCTTTTCATAATTCCACTGTGTATGCTATGCATCATGTACAGTGCTTGCTTTTTAATTTTGTAGTCTCTAGTAGTCTCTGAGAGGTTAATTTCAGACGATAAAACTTCCTCTTTGTCCATTGATACGTCCTACGCATGACACCCACAACCCAACCCATACGCTGTCATCAAAATCACTTCCCAGGCCATCATCTTCTCCTCACTTCATCACTCCCCAGCTAGCTGAATATGTAGTTATTTTATTTTATTTATTTATCAGAGCACACTTCCACAAGTTAAATCTCT